CGTAGTTCATTACCACATAACAAGAAGTTTCCTTAATGTCTGCAACAATCTTTCTGTCTGCAGCACTAAGCAGCATGATGCCCTGCTCCTTCAACAGTGTCATGAGGTAGTTGGTGAGGTCAAGGCCTCCCAGATCTAGCTGCTGGACACCATGAGGCAGACAGTAACCCTCAAAGATGGGCACACACTGGGTAACCCCAGCACCTGAGTTCAGCACAAAACCAGTTGTGAAGCCAGCAGCAAAGAGAGCCAGCACCCCCTGAATGGACATATAAAAGGCAGGCACCTCCAGATGCTCAAAAAACACTTCAGTGATTTGTTGCCGGTTGGCCAGTGGGTTCAGTGCTGGCTCCGTAATCAAGACTGGGCCATCACAGGCCTTTAGTTTCAGGTTATGATCATAGATATGCTTCCACATGACCTCCATGTCCCCCCAGGAAGTAATGAGACCACGTTCCACTGGGTAGCTGTAGGAAAAGCAGTAAGAAAAGTGACAGCTTTTTTTTTTTTTTTTTAGTGGCAGCTTTTAATTTTTTCAGCACCTACTCTCTTCAAACCTGGGTTAATCCCCATACTTATTACCAGTACCCTTTGTGGGCAGTGACTGTCACAGCCAGTTAGAGAAGGTAACTGCCAGCAAAAGTTTGCATAGCTGACTTCCTCTGCAATTTTTGTTGCTTTCCATTTGTCCCCGCTTTGGAAGACAAAGAATCTTTAAAAAAACAAAAAAAATTTGGGAAGTCTTTGGAGCACCTGGCTGGGTTAAGTCAGTTAAGCATCTGACTCTTGATCTTTGCTCAGGTCAGGAATTCCCAGTTGGTGGGATCAAGTCCCAAGCTCTAGGCAGATCCTGCTTGGGATTCCCTCTCTCCCTCTCTCTTTCTGCCCCTCCCCTGCTCCCTCTCTCTCAAAATAAATAAACTTTAAACGAAGTTTAAAAATTGGGAAATCTTTACATAATAGTACAGTTTTAATATCAATTAATTGAAGAAAATAACCCACAGGGAGAAAGTGACATCCTTAAATAAACTTGTACATTATGAACGGTGACTTTATTTATACATTTGAACAGATCTGTTTACATACGAAGAGCAAGTAATGCTAACCCTTTAGATGTCTGGTACCCTCAGAGATTTGTGGCCTGCACCAGCGGGTTGAAACTTCCTGTTCCTGTCTTCCTTGTTCTCTCACCCTTATGCCCCTCATCTAGACCCTCCCTCTTTCCGCTCCACTAGGGTCCTGCCCGCTGTGAGAAGACGGTACCTGATGGACAACGAGTTTCTCCGTTCCTGCGCTTGGTCACCTACACACGTTTCCAGCGCGCCCTCCGCTACCCAGCCCTGTCCTTTGGCCCGGCCGATAATGTTGGGGTAGACGAACTGGGGCTCCCGCGACCCAGCCAGGCCCGCCTTAATCACTCCTGAGCCGTTGTCGATCACCACTGGTAGCTGGTAGTAGTAGCTCATGCTGCCGCCTCCTCCTCCTATCGCCTGGCTGCTCCGGCTGCCCTGGCTGCGGGCTACGCTAGGGAGCGAAAGTGCCAGCGCGGGCCCTTGGGCAGCGCCAGAAGGCCTACGGCCTGGAACGTCGCGTCACAGAAGCGCTGGCCTGACCACGGGGCCTGCGCCTGGCAGGCGTGCCCTGGAGAGCCCAGGCCCATTGACCCTC